TACTAGACGCTCTCACGAATGGTACCAATATATCAGTCAGCGAGACAGGGACAACTCTATTTTATTCTCCTGGGGAGCTCATCGGCGGCCGAATCACGCATGACTGCAATCCTAGTCGGCCCGTTTCCTACTATTTGGAAGTCCTGTTGGCCCTGGCGCCCTTTGGGAAGTTCCCAGTGGAAGCTCGACTGAGGGGAATCACGCACAGCGAAGGATTCCTCAGCGTTGATACTATTCGTACCGTAACTTTGCCAATTCTGGCCAAGCTGGGCGTGAATGCTGACAATTTGGCCTCAACTGCTCAGGGTAGCAACGGTTTGGGAAGGGGAGATTTTTTTGCGGCTTTGTAAAAATGGAAAAAAAATTCGGTGAATTTCTGAGTCTGAGTTTATACCCACCATAAAGTGGATTCGTTTGGATATCACAAAAAAAATATTATGTTTTTTTTCAGGTAGTCTACATATAACTCAGCCGCCCTTAGCCTTGAAGGTTGAATCTAGAGGCGATCCGGCTGCGCCCGGAATAGTGTCTTTCACCTGTCCAATCGTCAAGGGTAAAATTAGAAGGTTTTTTCTTCGGTCGAGATGGGATCTGGTATTAGGTATTCCACCGATAGAGCTCTCGAATGAGGGCAGGGTAAGGAGAGTCAGGGGCGTTGCATGGACTAGCAAGGTAGGGGGGGAGGAATGTGCACATGGTCAACTACCTGTGTTGGTGACAATTATGAGGAAACTTTGAGGAATTGTTGCTGTTGCTTTTTTTTATTTGTGAGGAAACTTCTGAGCTCAGCGGAGGAAAGAAGTCATTGGATGGCTTAGGTGTCACCACAGTATGCTCCGATGATGATCGATTCGTGCCGGGCTGTGCTGAATCCATACTTGGCTGACGTGTGGGTCTTCACGGATGCTGCGAAGAAGTTGTCGAAAGAGGCCCGAGGAGGATATGGTCTGAGCTTGGTGGCAGAGACGGAAACAGGCGCGTTGATCAGTGCCGATGGGATGTCTGAGTAGTATGGGAGTGTCGCATTGGTCGAGTGGTAGCGCGCGCTGCTGTCCATTGGAAGGTCGTGGGTTCTATTCCTGGCGCGTCTTATCTTGTGATGCCTTTTTACAGAGCCGAGGCCACCTCTTCCCATACAGTGACAGAGCCTGAGAAACTCGGAGAGGAAGTAGCGCGCGCCCTGCTGGGTGAGCTCGACTGTGGTGGAGTAGTTGACCGACAACACCAATGGCTCGCTGCTCTATTCATGAGCATGGCTGGAGACTACAAGGTGAGAGTCATGGGGAACCTCATCTGTGGAGGCTCTCGAGGGCAGGGAAAATATCTTTATATGTTTTGGGATGCCGTCGTGGAGCATTATTACAGTGAATTCGAAACATTCGAGGAAATCTTTGAGAATCTTTATAGTGCGTTTTCTGGCCGATGCGGAGCATATCTTCTGGTATTGCTCATGGCGATTTCAATGGGATTAGAGATCTTATCAGAATCGGATTCCACTGAGGATGTGATAACACATTTTTCCTTTTGAGTTCATTCAGATTGATATAGTGATTTCCTCTTTCGAAAATTGGATTTTGGGTAAATGAGAATTTTCTTTCGAAATTTTGGTTAATTTTCACCATGTTGGGAATTAACAGTATGTGTATGAGTGTTTTTCTCTCAGGTCTCCACCGCTGTGTTTGGTCAGAAGCTCACGCCCTACACTGTAGCGTTGCTACGTAACATACGCGATTTCATGGGTGTGCGCTTCAAGTTTACTACCCAGCAAACTGAGGAGGAGGTCCTACTAGACGAGCTAGATGAGGAGAAGGTCAAGGCTGTGAGTCGGTCGGTGAAGCTGAGATGTGTTGGAGCCGACCTCAAGAATGCCACTCGGAGGACTTTCTGAGCACACTGGCCTTACGTTGATATATTCCTTACCAAAAACGTTTCGATCAAATGTTGGGTTTTGGGTTAGAGTGTTCATAGTCAGGATTCTCGGCATTTCGGGGGCCCTGGGCAAACGGGTGATTCTGGGCTCCTACTACTCTAGGAGTAATCAAGTGGCTACCAAAGGGCACATGGGCCCTCCTGGGAAGCCAGCTCATAGGGCTCTAGGGCGAATGCCCAGTTTGTCCACGCGTGTGTACTGGTGATATGGATGGGGCTACTCTAGAAGTGGTGATATCGTCGGCGAGTCAGTGCTGGGGTTT